GGGAAAAAAACCCACCAGAAAGAGTACTTTTGCAGTGTGGAAAGGTTGGCAGAGGATGGGGAAAGTGCGAAGGGAGCAGGGTAGACAGCTGAGACCTGCATCGTTCCTGAGTCTTGATTTGGGCAGATGTGAAAAATTCATGTCAGAAATCGGGGTGATTCTGAGTGTGATAGAAAGGCAAAGGCTAAGTAAAGGATAAAAGGATGAAGCATGTGCACTTCACAGACATGTCTTTTCCCCCAATCTAGTTGGAGGTTAACCTGGAAAAAAAAGTGAGGTGAAGGCATTGGTTTATTTAGTCAGAATGGGTTATGGAGCTGTTGAAAGTAAGTATAGCTGACTGTTAACACTGCAGGAAGAAAACTTCTTCCCTCCCTCTACATTAAAACTCTATGAAGCCTCAGCCAGAAGCACAAATTCATAAAACCTTTGTGTGCAGTCATCTCCCAGGTTTAACTCTTCACTCCAAATTCTTTCATACAGAGTAAAATGTTTGCCTATTTTAACCTCAGAAGCAGCTGGCCATCAACTCGTACAAAGTCACATGCAAATGCAAAAGTTAATCTCCCTTGTGCCTCTGTTGCTGTGGACAGCATGAGTATCTTCTCGATTTGAAACTTACCCATCATTTCCAATTTGGAAGTTTCCTGCTTCCAATACATAGGCTTTGTAAAGTCTTTCTACTTTTTTTGTTTACTATTACCAAAGGCCAGTTCTACAACCATTTTAAAATCACATAGGTTTTCTGTTTATGTGCTTAATCCTCATTGGGTCTGGAACTGCCTTTTCAATTCTGTTCACAACACAAACAACAGGAAGGTCCTGTCCCTTATGTAGTTCTCCTGTGTGCTACAATAATATCCATGTATTATTAAAAATAATAAATTAAAGAAGCAGAACAGGCAAAATCACTTCTCTCTTGCAGAAGAGACCAATATAGTGAAAGAGACATAAGAGATGAGTAACCACAACTACCTAAAGCAAACAAGAAAATGCAATTACATAGGTAGGAGCAAAATGATCAGAAATGGAACAGGGAGCTTTTGTGTACCTAAGGAAATGGTTATGAAGAGTCGATGGCTCACAGAATTGGGAGCTGGACCAAGGTCATAGGGGAAAAGGGCTTTTATCAGCAAAACAGAGACTATTAACTTGACAGTAGAAAGTGATTCCTGTGTTATCTCAAGGGTAATTTACAGTCACACAGTAAAAGATACAGTCTGAACTTACTGTGGAGACACTACACAAAGGTTTTCATTGCAAAGACAGTGGGCAGTAGGAGGCATTTTGGACACATACTACAGATTCTGACAGAATAACAGAAATATGGGTAAAGTATATGCTGTGGAATGCAGTACTAGCGGATGAGACCAAACTAATTAAAAAGAGCAAGGAAACTTATTTTGAGGAAGTATAGTGGTGTCGGGCTAAAGAGGATGGCAAAGAATAAGAAGAGGGAAAGAACAACTGAGGCTGTCAAATAGAAAAAAGGCAACACATTAGTTAAGAATTTGTGCTGGATGATGCTTTCGAAGTTTGGAGCGATGTGTACTTCTCTCTCTCATTTTACAAAGACCGATCTAATTGTCTATTGAAATACAGAATAGCTTCCACTCAGAACAGAGTGTTGTCTTCCGCACAAGCTTGAACTGATCAGGGAACAAACAAGCTGACTTACCAGATTTTCCTGTCTAAATATTATGAACCCAAATCAGCTCAAAGTAAGTAAGCATGCTAAAAATGTTTAA